TGTGACAATTTCTTTTCTTAGCCATCTGAAGCTAACACTGAGTCTGGTACTGTTCATGTTGCTTATACAACGTGTTTCTGGTTAAGAACAGTTCACTGAGGTGTCTGGGTGTTTTGTGGCTTTCCCTGTGAATGTCCTGAGGTGGCTGGGACACTGCTGTGACTAAGAATCAGAAGTCTCCAGCTTTCCTGTAACTGCAGAGTCAAGTTGCAGGAAAAGTGGGACACAGTCCGAAGAATTCCTTGGTCATGTGATACGGGGTGACAGATGCCCTTGTCCTCCAGCAGGTTGATAACTGGTCTCCACTGTCCCTAACCTCAACACTGTTGAGCCCAGAGCTGCCTGTGAGGGTGACATCAGGACCGGCCACTTACCCCCCCCCCTTGTTGCTGTTTCCATGATCAGTTCTGAAACAGAAATTTCTACTCGCCAGCACATATTCACTTAGAGAAACTGTTCTCTTCTGTGAGGCCCTTAGCCCTGTGTTCCAGGGTACACTCCCACAAATGACTTCTACATTCAGCCTTCAGGGAACTTCAGCCGAGTACTTTGGAAATCACTCTGTCTCAGAATCACTGGCCATGACCGTCTGGGGAACACCGTGCTCTCTGCAAGCAGAGCCACAAACCGTGCCATCTTTAAGGCAGGAACTGTCTCTGGCTTTTACAGCTTGGGAGTTCACTTGAGCTAAAGGAGAGTCTTAAACATTTGAAAAAACCAAAGACAAGCTGCTAGTGATCTCTTTAGCCACATGTCTTGGGATTCTGCAGCAACTGATCTAAAGAACAGAAGGGCTCACAGGAAAGCTAGCAGCCAGACATGACCCAGATAAACGACTTGAGATTTGTCTTCTTCCCTCTGATTTGGGTGGTGATTCATAGATGAAGTTCCTGAGCTGGCTGCTGATTAAAATGGTTTCTGGCAGGGCACTGTTAGATGATGCAGCGGTTAGAAAGGGACGTGTGGGCTATTAAGATGCTCAGTTGGTAAACGTACTAAAGGCTCAGCCTCACTACCCGAGTCTGACCCTGGGGTCCCGCGTGGCAAAAGGAGAGCAATAACTCCTTCAAGATGTCCTCTGACTCCTACATGTTTGGTGTGGCACACCTATGCCCACACACGTACCCTTGCCACGCTAAATAAAATGCAGTTAAATGGTTGACCAAAAGGGAGGGCAGAGGTGGGGGCTGGAGAGGCAGCTCAGTGGTAGGGCACATGACTGACAAAGATAGGCCCTAGCACCAAAAAGATATTAAAAATTTGGACCATGCTCAGGGTAGGGTCTGTAAAACTGAGTTGAAAGTACTCATTCATGACCTGGAAGAATCATGCATTATCTCTTCAGTCTCCCTTTGGGGCTCCAGATGCCATAGCATGACCCTTTACTGCTGTCTATATATTTGCTAGCATTGCAAAGTGACAGCTTTCCCTCGGAACCTGCCTAATGGATGTTAAGACAGCCCACGCCTTCAAATGTGCATGAATAGTATTGGGCACAGTCCCCTCAGGCAAACACACAAGCTCTGCAGAGCATCTAAAATTAGATGCCTACTGTAGCCATGACCTTCTTAGAGGTGGCTGGTCTGCAAGGTCTTACATTAATCATGTCCCACCCCACTGGACCAAAACGGTGTCTTTTGCACACCCCACTCAGTTCAATTAGTTCAAGTCAAGGACTTTACTGTACTTTTTAGAGATGGCTTCACCCTCTCTCTTGCACTGGGAGCACCAGCCAGACACGGCCTCTGAGATGTGCACAGACAACGTGTTTTGCATGGTTATATGTCAGTTTCCTCGTGTGTACATTAGAACACTGTAATCATTCTGTGAAGCTCCCCTTTCTCTAAATGTGGGGTTGTGCTTCTGGGTCCTACTGCTCTGTGTAAAGATCCAAGAGACAAGACAATCTGTTCAAAGCTGGGCCCTGCAACAGCCCACAGTGGTCCCAGCAACTTCAGCTGTCAACCTTACCCTCCCTTCTCAGTCCACTTTTCACACTGCATACACCCACTCCTCTCTTTCTGTAGTCCTTGAGCCACTGAAGTCTTGAAGGTTTTTCAACATGAAGCGGTTCTCACTGCTTACACCTTCAAGTTGACCTTCCCGCTTCTAAGCCTCCCGAGAGAATGTTATTAGGTGTTATATATAGGAGGTGTTCGTTCCTGACCAACATACTGTGTTTTAAGATAACCAATATTTCCTTTTAAGGTCTTAGTTTGGATGAGTCATACAATCTGCGGAGACATGCTGTATTTATGCTAACATATTTTACTCTGCTATACCATGATCTTTGGAGGTTTTTTTTTAGATTTTCCATTTTAACCCAATGCTGTGATCCTTCGGTTGCCTATATGACTTTGTTCTTTAAAAATGAATTAAATTTTTATTTATGCATATGCATGTTCCTGCATGAGTTGGTGTGCACCACATTTGGACAGGTGAGGCCGGAGGACATTGGGTGTCCTGGAGTTGGGGTTACAGGTGTTGGTGAGCTACCTGATGTGGGTGCTGGGACCCGAATCAGATCCTCTGCAAGAGCAGTGCATGCTCTTACCTGCTAAGCTACCTCTCCATTTCCCTTGGTTCTGTTTTGCAATCAGAACCAAGAATGCAATCTCATTCCTGTTTTTACTTAAACTTCTCACGGTCTCTTACGGTGTTCAATAAACAGACGCTCTTCTGTGCAAACGTAGGACCAGCTCTGGATTCCACGACCTGTTTGCTCGCCACACACTTAGTGTTTGTGCCATGCCTTTCGGTCCTAACTGGGTCGCTCTTCACTTGTAAGAAAGAGCAGGGCCTGACTCACGTAGGCATTTGTAAAACGTGTGTCGAATGGACACCCATGAACCAAGTGTAAGACGTCTAGCAAGTGTGGCCTGCCAGCTGTAGAACCAGACCAGCTGTGACATCCAAGGATGGCTCCAGTGTGATGGGGAGACCCTGCTACGAACGTGCGTGTGCCGAGCAGTCACAATGGTTTTGTAAAGTCGCAGCAACGTTCCTGTAACAGAAGCCTCGATTGCATAACACAAAGAAGTGCGAGCTTCCTCTTCTGCAATTCCCAGGCCGGCCGGCAGTGTTGAAGTTCAAATCTCCCGCCTTAGTGAGGGATTGCTGAGCAATGAGCGGGTGGGGAGAGGGAGTGTTTGCCAGGAGTGTGAGGGTGTGGAGCCTGAGCAGACAGCTGGAGGAGGGGAGAGAATTGAGAGTTGGAATGTTGCCGGGACTAGCTTGTGTCCTCTATAAAATGGAAATCCTCACGGTAATGTACGCCGTAAGAGTCATCACGGGACAATCAAATATGGTATTTACTGCACCCCCCCCCGCGCAAATACCCTCTTCTTAATGCCAGATAAGGATTTTGCTGCCAGCCGAGTTCGTTTGGTGGTAGCTTTTAGCGAACTAGGGTTTGATTTTGAGTCACTTCTAGCAAAACTAGATAGGTTTTAGACATCCACCAGGCGCTGAAGCTCCTTGCTGCATCCTACGTGTAGTCGGTGCGGTACGTCGTCCGTCTGTCCGTGCGCCCTCTTGCTGCGTCTGTGTTTACTCTCCTTTGACTTGGAGAAACCTTTGTAACTTCGTTCAAATGAGTTTCGAAAAAGGAGATTGCGAGAGGAGGGATGGAGACGGAGAGGGACTGGAGGGGAGATGGCAGCCAGATCTCCAGTATGTTCCACAGACGCACACGGTGACAAGGAGATCAGAGCACAGTCTAATCTCAGACGACACTCTCAGCATTGTTATTTTTGTTTACTTTTTATGGTCTTGGATATTTGTTTATTTTCATTTACATGTAAGAATTCTGTTAACAAAAGGTTACCTGGGGTAACGAAAGTTTGAAGCCACTGTCACGGCACGTGGCTGGAAAGTTCCACTCATGTTTGTAGATAACGGATGCTGAATTTTCAAAGCTGAGTGTGATGCAGTTTGACCTGGAGGTTTTAGTGTTAAAACATTTGCTTCTTTGCGTGGATGTTGGTTGTCACCAAGAACAAATACGGCACTGTAAAGTGATGTGAAAATATTTAAAAAGATAAAAGGAAGTCATTTTAAAGTATCCTTCCCACACATTTAAGACATTTTAAAATAGACAATTTTGTTACGATAGTCAAAATGAAATGAGTTAGAAACATCTCATCTGCTGTCTTCTCACACCATCACAACCCTCCCCAACAGGAAACCCAGCTGACTTCCCTGACCCTCCCCCACAACTGAGGTCTATAATTCCTGGGTTAGCCAGGGCCTTCTCTTTCTGCCCACTAGAGGGCGGCAGTGATGCACAGGGCTAGCAGGTTGCTCAGCAAGCTTTTCTGAGAAAACCTCAGAATGTGCTTCAGATTTTCATATTTGAATTTTTAGAAAGCCACCTCCTTTCTCCTTCCTTGACTATGTATTGTCAAACGTACACATAGAACTCTTTGAATTTATCAAGTGTATCTATTGGCTTGGTCAAGCATTAAGAACGTGATGACGTTTGCAAAGACACTTAGGTAAAAGTTAAATGTTTTAATTGTATATCTCTATGAGATAAATTACACCTAAATATAGTAACCTTACCAACTGTTTCTGTGTTCTCTGTAATGTTGGCCCAGAGTTCAAATGGGCCAGAAGGTCCGCAGTGGCTCCCTCCGGCGACTGCGGGGGAGAACCCTGTTGCGAGGAGCTCATGAGGGGCTGGTATTATATAGCTCTTCTTCATTGGCTTCCTTATGAAAACAGGAGGATTCGGCGAAGGATGAGTATCCCAAGAATGAACACTTCCAAGTAAAAGAGGTGGAAATAAGCCATCTCCGTGCGGGGGGGGGGGGGGGAGAAATTGTAGACAGCTGTCTTTGACGACCGCACGTGGGAGGCTGGGACAGTTTGAATGATGGCTACAAGTCACGGAGGACAGGGAGGATCGCGTCTTCCTCTAATAAACGGAATTTGTTCTGAAGGTGCTGCTGTAAGGATGAAGATGCACAGCGCTCACCCCTGTGTTCTCTTTCCCCTAGGTCTGTCACCTAAGCAGTCAGAATGGCCAGAGGATCAGTGTCTGATGAAGAGATGATGGAACTCAGAGAGGCCTTTGCCAAAGTCGGTGAGTGGGCCTGGAGCCGCCGTGTGCCGCTCTCTACTGAACCGCCTCACGGATGGCTTAAAGCAGAGGTCCTCAACCTGTGGGCTACCGTCCTTGGGGGGGTCGAATGACCCTTTCACAGCTGTGATCTAAGACATCGGAAAAGGATTATTATACGTAATAATAGCAAATATAATATTATACTTAATAATAGCAAATAATAGCAAAATTACTGTTATGAAGTAGCAACAAAAATAGTTTTATAGTTGAGGGTTGCCACAGCATGAGGAACTGTATTAAAGGGTCGCAGCACTGGGAAGGCTGATGACCCAGGAGAGTTGATTTCTGAAAGATGTGCTTGAGGAAAAACCCTTCTTTCCTAGTTAAAATGGGGGGAGGGGTGCTGGACTCTTGCCTTTCCTGCAGGGCTCCCTATGCCTCACTGTTTTTATCTTTCCTGCTTTCATTTGGGTTCCAATTTTTGTTTGTTTGTTTTTTTAGTATTGTTTTACTCCTTATCCTAAGTTTGTGGTTTGCGTTTTAGTTTCTGTAAAAAATCGTAACAATCGTAGAAGGGGCTAGAGAGATGGCTCAGTCAGTAAAGTGTTGGCCACTCAAGCGTGAGGACCTGAGTTCGGTCCCCAGCTCCCACATGAAATGCTGGGCGCGGTGGCAGGTGCTTGTAATCCCAGCCCTGGGAAGGCAGAGACAGGCGAATCTCTGGGGCTCACTGGCCAGCTTCTCTGGTCAATTGGCGAGTTCCAGCTACAGTGGGAGAACTCTGCCTTGAAAAAAAGATAGCTCCTGAGGAACAGCACCCACGGTTGCACTCTGACCTCCACACGGATGTGTGCACGCACACACATACATGAACTTGCAGACATGCTATTTTATGTATGTGCATGCATGCATGCATGAGTTCCTAGATACTGTGTTACTGAAACCTCGGCTTTGACATTACGAGTCTTTTACCATGGATTTTGGAAGTGATGTGATCGTCCGGCTCCAATAGCAATGGGCCAACCTGGCAGATTTTTGCCTCTGTCTGGGTCAGGCTGAAACCCAGGACAGGTCATCTCCCTGCAGCCCCTCCTGTCATTTAGTATTCTCTGTCCTTTCTAAAGACTGCGCCGGAGTCACCCCGAAGCTTCACTGTCTCGTTACAGACACGGATGGCAACGGGTACATCAGCTGCAATGAGCTGAATGACCTGTTCAAGGCTGCCTGCCTGCCTCTGCCTGGGTATCGCGTGAGAGAGATCACAGAAAACCTGATGGCCACGGGTGACCTAGACCAAGACGGAAAGATCAGCTTTGATGAGTTTATCAAGGTGAGCATGATTCTGAACTCAAGGTGATGCATTTGGAGCTTGAACGCAGCAACAACAAATATCCAGAGAAACTATCCCTGGTTCATCATTACAGTCTTACCTTTGCGTTTTTCTTGACTGTAGCTTGGGTCACTAGAAATGCCTTGATCTAGCTGGGTGTGGTGGCCCACCTCTGTAATCCCTGCACTTGGGAGCCTAAGGCAGGAGGATTTGCTTCGAGTTCAAGGCTAGCCTGGCCAGCCTAAACTGCATAACAAGACCCAGTTTTTTTTTTTTTAATTAAAACCAAATGAGGCAAAAATATTGCATTTTTATAGGTCTTCCATGGCCTGAAAAGCACCGAGGTTGCCAAGACCTTCCGGAAAGCTATCAACAAAAAGGAAGGGATCTGCGCAATTGGCGGCACCTCCGAGCAGTCCAGCGTTGGCACCCAGCATTCCTACTCAGGTAAGCTGTGCTGCTGGGTAGGTGCAGAGGGGCAGGCGAGAGTTGCCAGAGTACAGGATTAGAGGGTTCTGTGGTTACAGAATTAAAATTTGGTATACAAGCCAAAGGGTTAAAAGTAAAGAAGCAAGCCCACCTATGTGGATGGAAACCTGTTTCCCCCTGTGGGAGTGGATCAGTGCCCAGGCACAGGAGGCAGGAGCCCTTGAGCTCCAGGGACCTTCTGGTCCTGAGTGATCTCATTTGCATTTCAAGTAGGCTTTTAAAACTGCTCAAAATTTCTTTAAACATCTCCTGGACAAAATTGGCCCTTTGAGTCGCTGTCTTCAGAATAATGATTGTTCTCAACGCCTGCTGAGTGGTCACAAAATATTGATTGGGAAGAGAAGTTTTCTGTTTATTCCAAATGCTGATACAAAGCAGCCTTAATGGAAGTGTCTAAGATTCCAAATGGTGTCGTCACTCAGTATTTCCCAAACTTTAGTTTTCTAAGAGATGATTCAGTGTTAAAGATAAGTTTATAGACAAGCATTTCTTGCATTTGATGAGAAAAGGTTTGGCTTTTTTTAAGCCAAAATATACTATTAATTCTTTGGGAATGTTATAGAATGTATTTTGAATATGCACACCCCTCCCCAACTCCTCCCATAACCACCCTCTCTACTGTCCCACTCTTTTCCACTCTGTATTGAGATTTCTTCCCTTTTTCTTTCTCCATTGAGTCCAGTTTGTGTTGCCCCGTTAGTCTTGGGAGTGGGCCCTGCCCTGGTGTGTGGTTGTCACATCATTATAGAAAGTGGACTCTCCCCTCTCCTTGGACAATGGTGGGATTTCATGCCCACACCCGCCCACACACCATGCTGGGCTCTTGTCTGGCTGCAGCTTGCTCAGGTCTTATACATGCTGTCACAATCACCGTGTGTTCATCTGTGCAACTGTCATAATGCCGTGTGTTCATCTGTGCAACTGTCACAATCACCGTGTGTTCATATGTGCAGCTGTCACAATCACCGTGTGTTCATATGTGCAGCTGTCACAATCACCGTGTGTTCATATGTGCAGCTGTCACAATCACCGTGTGTTCATCTGTGCAGCTGTCACAGTCACTGTTACACAGGCAGGATCTTGAGTTTTACCCTATAAATATCAAACCACATTATACTTAAATTACACCCACACAAAGTACTTTATTATTTATAATTATCCAAATATAATGTGCATTTTTAAATTTGCTCTGAATCTTTAATTGTATCTTTATTACCCGATTGAGTGCCTGTTTCTTAAGGGAGCTCTGATTTTTAAAACTAGTAAATCCAAGATGGTAGGCGGGTGGCCTGGGGAGCCTTGCAGCATTACTCTTGGGCACGAGAATGTGAGGTGCATGTGTGCAGTGCCTTCATCTGGCTTGCACATGGCATCTCAGTCACTTCAGCTCTTTATCTGCAGAGGAAGAAAAGTACGCCTTCGTCAACTGGATAAACAAAGCCCTGGAGAATGACCCCGACTGCCGGCATGTCATCCCCATGAACCCCAACACCAATGATCTCTTCAACGCTGTAGGGGACGGCATAGTCCTTTGGTAAATGAAAGTTCCTTCCTTCTTAATTTCCAACCTCCCCCCCCTTTATTGACCTATCAGCAGTGAGTGTTTTTACTGTTGACCATTTTTTTTTGATTCTTGCATGTATGGGGCACTTTTATGGACTGTATTAGACAGGGGTACAGGGGAGCTAACTAACTTCAGAAGCGACTTGTAGTGCAGTCTCCTTGGAGAGGAGGGACACCGCGTATCAAGATGAGCTTGTACGTAAGCCAAGACACAGTGATGTCAGGTCAGAGCAGTGGCTTTGTGGGTGTGTGCCACTTCCTCTGAGCATGGCCTGCCCTGGATGGACTGGGGAAGGAAACAGAGCAGTGGAAGTTTATTTTAAATACATGAGTGTGCACAGAGAGATCCATGAGCATGTGTACACACATGACAAAGTTATGAAAATATATGTTTAAAAGTAACTATAAAAAATAGCCTCCCGAGTAGCTGAGATTACAGGCCTGCACCATGAAGTCTGACTTCCGTTTGGGGATTGAATTTTCATGTCCTTTCTTTAAATAAAACCGAAGTCACTAACATCATTTATTTTCTCTGCCCTGTTGAAGATTAAGCAATAACTTGAGCAAAATCAGTTTTTCAGAAACAACCACCACTTGCTTAGGTTTCTGATCAATGTATTGGATACTTAAGTGAGGAAAATTAACCACACATTGATCAAATGACTACAGAATGATAGGACAAACCACTGCTTGTTTAGTTAACTGTATTGATCAGGTATCAATAGAAATATTTGCATAATGTAAACCCAGAAGTAGATCAGCAGTCTTTGCATAGTGGAGACAATTTACAAGGCTAAGAAACTCACGGGGGGGGGGGGTTGCTTTAACTACCCACCTAGAATTCAATGATGGTCTGAGGCAGCGGTTCTCAACCTGTGGGTCACGACTCCTTTGGGGGTTGCATATCAGATATTTACATCACGGTTCATAACAGTAGCGAAAGTACAGTTATGAAGAAGCCATGAAAATAATTTAATGGTTGAGGTCAGCACAACATGAGGAGCTGTATTGAAGGGTCGCAGCACCCGGAAGATGGGGAGCCACTGTTCTCTGGGAACCAGCCACTCTAATAGCTTAGGTGAGTGAGCCAAGCGGTCCCCACAGAGTCCAGATCCAACCACAACGGCGCAGCATGCTGTCGGCCAATAGCTGTTGCTGACATGTCCAGCTAAGGCCCTGCTCAACCCCCACCAGACTCGGCTACTCAGAGGGCTACCTTCTTTAATTCCATTGTTTCTCTTGCAGTAAAATGATCAACCTGTCCGTGCCAGACACGATCGATGAGAGAACAATCAACAAAAAGAAGCTCACACCTTTCACCATTCAGGTTTGTCTCTCTCTGCTGCTACGCAAACACGGGGTGCTGGCTTGGCGTGAGCACCCATGCGATACCACTGCTGAGTCAGCTTTATGCAAGCGCTCAGGCCACTCCCCCGCCCCCCCCCCTCCGCGCATAGACCTTGGCTAATGGTTCTTACAGCCAGTGGGTAGAAGGACACATTGCATTTCTGACTTGTGTTTATTGGTGGAGCAGTCAAGGAAGGAGGCTGGGGTGTGTTAGCAGCTGGGATTGTTTAGGTCGCCTGAGAGTACACTTCATGATGACTGTAATTGTAACTCAAGCCTTTGAATAGATGCCGAATAGACCACATTAGCGGAAAAGACAAGCCTTTCTGACCTGGGAAGGGATGGAAAAACGGGGCTATGCTCTGGAGGACTTCACGGTGCTGGGACACAGCCAAGAGTGGAATAAATAGAACCTGCTTCCACCCCTCTGCTTGTTGATTAGCCAAACTAGTCACCAGTGGAAGATAGACTGGGGTTCTTTCCTGTATTCCAGTATTTTAGCACTGTTGTAATTCTCTAGCTCAGGAACCATGTCTGATACCTTCAATCATGAATAACAGGTTATTTCCTGTTTGGACTTAAGCAGTCCTGTGTACTTTTAAAAAGTCTAACCAAGTTAGTAACAAGAGTTGAGCATATGAGAATGCACTTAATGTTAGACTTATTCATAATCTTGGCTATAGTAGGAATTGTCTTTATCCACTGTTCGGAATGGTTGGGAAGGACTTCTGGGGGAGTTTCTTCTTAATTTGTCATACACATCACAAAAGCCTTTTTACTCTCTGACACTGACCTCTTCCTTCATGGGTCCAGAAACAGAACACGAGAGATGGAACACTCCGACTCCCCCAGCTGTATATGAGTTACCGTAGATGCATGCCTGGTTGGTATAGCAGCCTGGAACCTGCATACATGGGTGCATATGCAAGTTTGCTAGTTGTCATGGATACTCAGTAACTTGTTTTTTGAAGAAAGCAAACAAAGAATAAACCCGCCAGTCTTTTCCAGGAATTTGATTTATATCATTTTCTTTCCCCACAATAAATTTGCAAGTCAAAAGACCATTCTGTTATTCTTTTTTATGACCCTAATTTACATCAACAATTATCTTCTTAGCCATCGGCAGTGATAGGACAATGACTTTCTCCAGTTAATGGAGGCTCTGAATGTATAGGCTTCATCAAAGTGCAAAACAGACCAGCTTAGGACTCATTAATCTCATGCCAAAATGGGTCCTCCACACTGGGTACTGGTTTGATGGAGTAGGCCCCGGTACAAGCTCAGTGTGTGGGCCATTAGGTCCTTCCTTATTATCATTCCACTGCTTCTTCTCAGTGTTAAAACTAGTGGAGACCTTGCCTCTGGGTCTGAGAACATTCCAGAAGGACAACACTGGCTGTTGATAATCAATAATCTCTGGGCATTGTCAAAGTGAAGGAACCAAGCTTGCATATTTTTTTTTCTCCAGGAAAACTTGAACTTGGCCCTGAACTCTGCCTCAGCCATTGGGTGCCATGTGGTTAATATAGGAGCCGAGGACCTGAAGGAGGGGAAACCTTATTTGGTCCTGGGACTTTTGTGGCAAGTCATTAAGATTGGGTTGTTTGCTGACATCGAACTCAGCAGAAATGAAGGTAAGATAACGTCTCACGTGCTAAGATCTCCTGGCATGACTTTCTAACACTGCCTGTGTTGGTGTTTGGGCGAAGATATCAGGCATTCTCCACCTGAGAAAGCCATTCAGTAATATTGAGTCCACGGAATTAAAGTAACAGACTCTATCCATGCAAACCAGGCTTTTAAAATGTCAGTGCAAAGGCTTTTAGAGACCACAGACTGGCAATAGCACTTTGTTTAGAATATATAGCTTGGCCTGACTGGAACCCTCACCTCAGAGGCTGCTTTACCGCTCAAATGGTCTACAGGGCTTCACAGTAAACAGGATGAGTTTTGATACATATTTTGTAAAGACTAATCACATTCAAATGCACCAGATTGGGAGAGATTGGTCTATTTCTCATTGCCTACCAAGGAAGCTGAAGGTTGTATTTATACAGGGTGGATGAGTCTAGAGACCTCAGGTAAACAGGAGGGCTAAGACAGTCATACTGTAGCACATGCTGCTAATTTACCAAAAGAGGCTTTTGATACTGTTACCGTCGCCCAGAGAGAACCAAGTAGCTATGTAAATTGACTCGTTCGCCTGATTAGAATAATCACATCGCTGTATCTAGTGTGATTAATATGTGAAAACACCATATTATGTACCTTAAATACATGCAATACATCTTCAGAAAACCACGTCAGAGCTTTGAAATTCTGAACTAAAGCCAGGCCTGATGGCCCTGACCTACAGGCCCAGCTACTTGCGAGGCAGAGGCAGGAAGATTACAAGCTTAACTCCTGCCTAGATTTTTAGAGTGAATTCAAGGCCAACCTGGGCAACTAAATGAGACCCTGGTTATTTGCTCAGGGCCATAGGTTCAACCCCCAGTTCTGGGGAAAAAGAAAAGACAGGGGGAAATTTTGAACAAGGTACATAAGCAATGATAACCCAGTTGAGTTGACAGGCGTGGACCTTGACCACACAAAACTCAAGCTACCTTTCAAAAATTTCGGGTACTGTTTCCACCATTCTGAAATCTGTAGCTAATTTATAATCTGCAGTTATACATACTTAATTTTTCAAATTAATTAATTAATTACCTTTAAGCATGTCAGTATTGTGTATGTATGTATACTACATGCATGCCTGGTGCCTCTGGAGACCAGAAGAGGGTGTTGGGTCCCCTGGGACTGAAGTTATAGATGGTTGTGAGTCATCATGTGGGTGCTGGGAATTGAACCTGGATCCCGTGAAAGAGCAGCCAGGTTCTTAACTGCTGAGCCATCTCTTCAGCCCCAACTATGCATATATTTTAAATCCAATTAGAACAAGCAGTAAAGATGTTGAGATATCACTTTAAAACCCAAATACTAAGCATTATGTTTAAAAAGCAAAAAAAAAAAAATAGCAAATAGGAATCTTAGAACTCAAGAGAAAGAATATTGATTTGCAAAATCAAATCAGCTAAATTTAAACACAACCAGGCAGAAAATATTTATTCTTCTGGGGAAACGCAGAGGAAAGTTGGTTGCATTGTTGTGTTGCTATAGTTATACAGGTAAGCATCTGGACTATAAAACGCCAATGGGAATAGCAAAGAGAACATTGTCACGACTGCGAAATCGACCTCTTAAAAGCAGAAGTGTCATTGTGACAGGAAGTGTGGTCCGATAGACCCAACAGAGCACTCCCAGCAAGTCACTTAGGTTACCTCTGTGCTATAACTGGTGCTCATAGGCAACGGCTTGAGATTCCTTGGTCCTTATCTTTCCTAACTGAAACATGGGGATAACAAGTTAGCTTGCATTAATGCACCCCTTTTAGGAAGTATAAGTGAGTTGTTTCCTTCAAGGGAAGAACTATATAAGACATTGCACCCAAAGGGACAATGCTGCTCTTTGCTCTTCCAACAGGGTTCCATGTCAGGCACAACAAATGCCCCCAAACATCCCTGTGTTTATTTTGTGTCATTTCATTATTATTATTATGATGTGTGTGTGTCCAGCTCTGATCGCCCTTCTGAGAGAAGGAGAGAACCTGGAGGACCTGATGAAGCTGTCTCCCGAAGACCTGCTGCTGCGGTGGGCGAACTATCACCTGGAGAACGCAGGTTGCACCAAAATCGCCAACTTCAGCACTGACATCAAGGTAGGGGCACTCTGCTGAACGCGCCTACTGCAATGGAGGGGAGGTGTGGAGTTCCCGGGCGAAAGGATAGATGCTGGGCCTTGTGTCTTAGAGGCCTGGGTTTAGTGTGGTTCTGTTTGCAGCCACTCACCATCCCCCAGGGCCACATCTGCAGCTCTAGTTCTGGGTCACACACACATCTGCCCTGAGCCCTTGTCTCACTGTGAGTTTCAGTGGCAGGAAGGAGATCATCAGGAACGCACAGCAGTGCAAGGGCAATACTACTTTAAGGTGAAGAGGGTATGCATAGGGGCTGGAGAGATGGCTCTCATCGTGAGGACCAACGTGTAGATCCAGCAGTCACGTGACAAGCCTGTCTTCCTGTAAGCCTTTGTAACTCCAGCCACAAGAAAGCCAATGCCCACTTTTGACCTCTGTGTATGAACAGGCAGGGGAACCTGCACACCTGTACACACATGAGCATTCCCCCGTGCAGATACATATGCGTGCACATGTCTGAACACATGCATATAAATAAATCATAGAAAAGAAAGTGTGTGTAAGATTTGATGTCTCTCACTTTATAAATGGTGCCATCTTAGAGGGGTTCCTTTCACAGAGTTAAGTGAAGATGTCTTTCTGATTACTAATAATAGTAATAAGTAATAATAGTAAATAGTAATCGTAAGCAAGCACAGTGTTTGCCGCTTGTGCTTTTGTGATCAACTCACTGAATCCTTACCACAAGACTTAAGGGAAGATTTTCACAAATATGGAAACAAAGAAATAAGAGATCCATAAAAGAATGGCCAAGAAGGCCCACATGTGGTCTTCAAATTTATGAAAAATTCTTTACTAAGGTGAGAGGAAATAGCTGTAACTGGTGACAGATGGACTAGGGTGACAAGCACCTAAGGAACAGCTAAAGAGCATTAGAGAGGAGTCCCCAGAACAATGGAGAGACATCAGCCACCAGGAAAGATTCCTCTGTCCACTCTCTCAAACGTGAAGAGCCAGAGGAAAGGTCACATGACCTGCCAAGAGTCCTCCAGGCTGACAATTGAGTAAGAGCATCTTCTGACTGCTGTACCACGTGGGCTGACCTGGCATGTTCAGAACTCGGCATTTGTCAGGCACAGGGCCAATCAGAGTGAAGCGAAGCATGTAGCTGAGCATCCCCTCCCCTGCCCCTCAGGCACTCAGCTAGGCACACTGGTGAGCCATCTTCAGGCAGCACTAGCCAAAGTGGGGCTCACAGGAGCCAGACAACACTTCCTATCTGTGCTTAACAGTTCTTCCCTGTTATGTTGGAGAACTATGTACCCTAAGTTATGATCTCAGTCATAAATGGGCCTGATTTACTCTCACCCAAAGGCTATGTTCTTAACTAACCATTTTGGATTTTGGGAAGGTCAATAGGGCATTTACAAAGGGCTTGTGTGCCTGTGTGTGTGTAGGGGAGCTGCTTTAATACATGTGTCTGAGGTTTTCATTATTTGAGCTAAATTAAAAGGCTTTTAAACTATCTGAACAGATGAAGTGAAATCCTATATGCTTCCATTGACTGAGCATAAATCTGTATTTTTAAGATCATGACCCTGAAAATTCTATTTGTCAATAATCATATTAAGAATTCATGCCTAGCCCAATTCCTTATAACCCAGATTACCTATAGTTTCTAGCTTATAGAGAGACATGAGACGCTCTTACCCTGGAGATATCTCTCCTTCTACTCGGAAACTATTGCCTGCAGCCCCAACACTTAGGAAGCTGCAGGAGAAGAACCACAAGTTCAAGGCCAGCCAGCTCAAAATGCATGATGAAACTCTGTCTCATAAAATAAAATAAAATAAAATATCTATCAGCGAATCAATCCCACACCAGTTATGTTTTAAGGGGTTATTTATTTTGGGGGTAAAACTTACATACACCATAAACCGTCAGGAAGGGAGCCTAGTCGCTGGAGCAGGAGCCGGGAGCAGGAGCCGGGAGCAGGAGCCGGAACCAAGAGGGCCTGATCCGGATCTGCTTCTCTTTTTAAAAGAGAAATATACCACGCCCCAGTGGGCTGGTATTTCAGCAGCTATTGGCTGACGGAAGTCGCTCCCCGCTGCACTGTGGGCTCGTATTTCAGCGACTATTGGTTGAGGCAGCGGAAGTTACTCCCACAACAAATATCAATCAGAATGGCTCAATAGATAAACATATCTGTTAAGGCAGAGGACCAGAGTAGAGTCCTCAGGACCCACACGGTGGGAGCAGAGAACAGACCAGAAGCTGACTTCTGCATGTATGTTCCCCTCCACATACACATGTAAATAAATTGTAATTTGAAAAAACAACAACACAAGACAGCTTGCTACTGTGTTAATCGTCTGTCTTCGAATTTTCTCTTTTGCTGATTGTTCATTTGAATGTATTTTAAACTCTGCTTTAAACTTCTGCTTCCTTTTTCTCTGTCGCTTTTTTTTAATTAACCCTTAGCTGACTGACTTCTACAACAGTATAAAGGTATATACATATTTTCCTGTATATAATTAATTCATGTAAATAAGCTGTTTCTCCCCGCTGAGGACAACAGAACCTTTGTGTTGCCTTTTATGTTGGCCCTGTATTTTCTTTATTGCTAGACTCCTTTAAAGAGAAAAAAATATAATATGCAACTGGACAGCGTGGACATTCTAGCGAGTTAATATTTCTAGGCCAGTTAATTGCTACATTCCTGAATGACAGGGATAAGAAATACGATGTTTGTTTTTAGGAGATGATTGTTGTGTTAAGTGTGCAAGTAACTTCACTTTTTTACATTGTAATTTCTTAACCTTTTCTCAGGACTCGAAAGCTTATTACCACCTGCTTGAGCAAGTGGCTCCCAAAGGAGATGAAGAAGGAATCCCCGCTGTTGTGATTGACATGTCAGGGCTGAGGGTAAGGCTGTGCCAATGTCTTCAAAGGACACCATGCTCTCGGTGTTGACTGTTCCTCTGGGTCACCTCGGCCCCTGCTCTGCTTAAGTGCCTGTTAAACTATTGAACACTGTTAGTAATTTTTGATAATACTTATGGAAAACTGAACCGGGGCATGAAATGCCAGGGTAAAAATAGTTACTAATGCAGTGCCGTGTGCCACACAGAATGTCATATATACCCATCGTTCCAAAGGCACAGCACCACCAACCTGGGTCTAAATAGTAAAGTGTTCTTTTTATTTTGTGTTTTTATTCTCAATCGATTAATAATAACCATTAATTTGTGGGCCATGGCAATATATGCTGTCTTAGGTTCCTGTTGGTGTGATAGAACACTCTGAGAAGAAGAAACTCGGGGAGGAAAGGGTTTATTTGGCTCACACTTCCCGGTCACAGTCATCACAGAGGAAAGTCAGGGTAGGAACTGAAGCAGAAGGCATGGAGGAATGCTGCTTATTGCCTTGCTCAGCCTGCCTTCTTATATAAGCTATCAGAACCTCCTGCCCAGGGGTGGCACGTTCTGTCGTGACTGGGCTCCCCTGCTAGGGAAAGTATCAATCAAAGCTAGAAAATGCTCTGCAGACTTGCCTACAGGGTAATCCGATGGTGGCGTTTTCTCAGTTGAGATTCCTCTTCTCAAGTGACATTAGCTTGAGTCGAACTAACAAAGAAAGCTGATCGGGACAGATGCCAATCAAAAGACAGTTCTTCAAGGGATTTTGTTGTTGTCAGTGGGTTTTGTGGTTTTGTTTTCGTTTGTGTTCTACAGCGCTTGGGAGAGAGCTCTGGGCTTCACACGCATAAGCAAGCTCTCCACCACTGGCCCGTAGCTCACGCCCTTTGGTTCTACCTAGAATTCTGATTCTCACACATTGCCTTGTCTGTTAACATGCCTCCTCTAACATCACTGGGACTAAAGCCAATGAGTTAGTACTGGATCTCTGAAGGAGAGGGCACTAAAGTGATTGTAAACAAGGACTGATGGTCATGAGATGAGCTTGTCACCTACTGAAGCAGGAGCCTAAGGGATAATTCTGATGTGAGGATAATTCTGATTTTGCTTTGTGAAAGGGGGTGGTGCCATGGACTTTACAAAGAGTGGTTCATCGTCTAGACAGTTGAGCCTCACTTTAAGAGTCTGATTACAAGTGATGGGAATTGTCCTCCCTCGCCTGAGCATGGGCTGCAGTCCTCAGCCAAAGCCAAGTTATTATGGGCCATTTACCAATGGTGGTATGGAGGCTGACCCTTACTTTGGGTTTTAACCAACCCAGTGTGGGAAAAGTAATTGTATGCATCAGTTGTTCTTCATTTATGACTGTAAATGTCTTCTCCGAATTAGAAACAGAAACATAAATTATTACTTAATAAACTTTCAATAGAGCAAATTCTCATAAAGTCTGTGCAAAAAGCTACACCTAAAGGAAGCTTAGCGACTGAAAATAGTTTAGGGCCGTGTAAAGGATGTCAGATTTTCCTGCAGTTTCCTTTAAAATGCAACCGGCGGTTCATCTGAACTTGTTAAATGATGAGGGGCCCTTGGTCTCAGTTACGGAACCTGTGACTTCGCGACTTACGTGCATGTGGTATATGTCGTAGGGATCTGCCTGTGATCGCACTTGGCACATTAATGAGACCCTACTTCTTCATGGTATGCATTCCCGAATGTGTATGGATCCCTGACCCGGCCTCTTGACATCCTTTTCATTGCAGGAGAAGGATGACATCCAGAGGGCAGAGTGCATGCTGCAGCAGGCGGAGAGGCTGGGCTGCCGGCAGTTTGTCACAGCCACCGACGTCGTCCGAGGGAACCCCAAGTTGAACCTGGCTTTCATTGCCAACCTCTTTAACAAATACCCTGCCTTGCACAAACCAGAGAATCAGGACATTGACTGGGGGGCTCTGGAAGGTAACCACAATGTTAGCTGCTTAAGGTGTTCAGGGAAAAAAGAAATGCTCACAGCTCTGGCTAAACGGCAACTCAAGACCAGCCCTGAAGCACATGCGAACCCACCACATACAAAAGCAGGCCATCAGTTCTCCAGTGTACAGCAAAGAGGATGGATTAATCAGGTCAATTATAGCCAAGCAGCAATAATCAATTACGATTCTATCACAGCCATTATACACAGGCATCATCCATTATCAGAATTAACTGTTTTAGGGAAGACAATATATTGAGTTATTGAATGAGATAAATTGTAAACTCCAGAACCATAATGTATGTACTTCATGGACTGGGTTAGGTCCCAAGGCAAGAAGTGGCCACCACTGGCCATCTGAAGTGATATGTAACTTGCACTAAGACGTGGCGCCTCAAGTTTTCACTTCTACTTTGTTCTTTATGAGGCCATTAGGACACAGAAGAGTCTTTTGAAGCAGAATCCTGACTGTCACATCTTACAGATGGAAGCCCTAATATAAAATGGCAGGCCGTTTCAGTCAGCCCAGCGTCTGCCAGTTGATGATTCCAGAGATATTTACTGATCCTTTAAAAACCATAAGCTAATCTCCGCATTGTCGTAAAAATTAGTATGCAATGAATGTTATTAACTCAAGGAAACCCAGGCTGCTTTTGTCGAAGGCTTTTCCCATGGTGCTTCAGTCTCGTTGCCAATACAGTAGCGTCCATATCCAACGCGGCCGCTTTGGAGAAGCCACGGCTTGGCGTTTTTGTCCTAATCTTAAATCTGTGCATCAGACTGACTAGCCATGCATTCCTAGCTGCCACTTCGGCACCACAGTTTGGGTTTTCCCCAATAAAGCACATCCAGGGCAGAACTGAACGCTTCTCATCTGTGTTGCCTTCCCCACGTCCTGTCTAATCTACTCCCTCCTAGTGAGTCTCATTTCGGTTCGGCAATCTCGTTTTTGTTTGTTTTTATTTTGATCACCAAAACAAATGGTCTTGAGTTTTGCTAAGATATCTTTCTGCCCATTCCTCTTAATCTATTACATAAATAGCTACCAATACTTCTTTATTTGAAATGCCTTCTAGGAAATATTTTTCCTTTCTGTTCTTCTGGACTCATTGTTTCACACACCAGTTATCTTAGTCTGTCTTAGGGGCTAGTTCCTCCACTCATGAAACAGTTAAACGTGCCCCCCACACCAACGCCAAACCCACTACCTTCTGCATGTCTAATGTAAATGCATATCACCCTTCAGTCATCCTGTGCGCCGCTGCCAGGCACGGCTGGCATAGCTTTCATTATATCTCTGCCTTGCCCGAGAACTTATTACAGCATCAAACAGAAGAACCCGCAATGACTGGCGCTGTATAAAATATCAGCGTAAATCTGCTACTCTGCCTACACAGATTCCCAGTCCTGGCTGCAGCCTCTAGACAGTCTTAGCTCTGTAGCAACACTGCATAGATCCCCGACACTTCACTTCCCAGTGTTCTGAGCGGAGAGCTTGCCTGTTGCTCCCTCTGTGCCCAGGGTTACACCCTTCTTACTCTCATCCCTTCCTGTCTTCCAAACGCTCTCCTCTCCCCTCATTCCCAGGCAGTGAAGTTTCAGCTCCCTGCTTCCAAATCTGAACTATGTGGTCCTTTCCCCTGACTCACCTACAAGGGCAAACGTATCTATTTGCCTCCTCCCTCTGTACATCCAGCTGACTCTAGGGACCCTGCTCGGTGATGCCAGATCTTGTTAGATGCTATAGAAATGCTTGTAGAAATTAAATGGGGAAAATTAGAGTATCGGCCCTCCTCTAGTAGTGTCTGTTTTCTGTACCTTCCATCTGTATTCTATCCACTGTAGATAAACTTAGATCATAAGCAAGAGCTGTCCTAGGGCGTACATATATTAACCAGCCTTCACCCACCTAGGTGAGACGAGGGAAGAGCGGACGTTCAGGAACTGGATGAACTCCTTGGGCGTCAACCCTCGGGTCAACCATTTGTACAGGTAGGAGGAGCTGAGGCACTCATCCCTGATCTGTAACACAGAGACTCTGAAGGAGGGCAGGATCCCACACCCCGTACTACGGTGGTGTGCGCCTTTTTCTCAGATGTGTGGGATATAGGAGTGGCACTGTGACCTCCTCCGCTGAGAAGCTCACACCCATGGATCAGTTATCACTGAATTTAATACAAAAATTATACCTCAGCAAAACAACTAACTTGATGTGTGTCATACGCCCATCATCTTCTCAGGAACGGGTTCTGTTTACGGAGTGTTAAGTTCACAGTCAAGTATTCCCTGTGCTATGGCTAAAGTCATGTTTCTTTTCCTGCCTCAAGGCAGTTTGTGTCCATGGAAGGGGCATGGGGAGAGTGAACCTAGGTCTCTGAATCTCAGTTTCTGTGTCTTTAGAGGTGGAGCTACTCCTACCACGCTTCCTGGGCTCCTGGGAATGTTCCCAGAACTAGGTGACTCACACCTAGTAGTCCCTGAGCAAAATGCTGGGTCTCTGACAATTCTTTGTCTTTGTTTGTGTTCAGTGACTTGTCAGATGCCCTGGTCATCTTCCAGCTCTATGAAAAGATCAAAGTCCCTGTTGACTGGAACAGAGTAAACAAGCCTCCGTACCCCAAGCTGGGGGGCAATATGAAAAAGGTAAACAATGGGTTTTCTGCTGGGCCAGGAGACAGGCAGGGGGTGGGGGGGTGGGGTGGGGTGGCTTAGCCTGCAAAAGCCCTTTGTGAACACTCTACCAGGTGGCCAAGTTTCCGAGTGTGCAGCAGGGATTAAATAATAGCGCAGCCACCAGAGGCCCTATGAATGCTTCCATTACAATGAACCTGCCATTGCAGCTGATTGCTCTTTATGATTCATATTGGACATCGCTGCGCATTATCAGGAACTCTCCAGTTGAGGTAGTTAGAGAAAGCAAAGCCACGGGGTCTCTCCACCCCCTAGCAAGATCTGCATTCTAATTTTCTAAAGAATTGGAGCTTTGTGCTCACAGCTTGGCTGGTACGGTTTATCTGCTGTCAACATGGTGGGAGCATTGTTTTGTAAGGATAGGGTCGACACAGCCGCTTCCCACCACTCCTCCTCTCTGTGACTCTTTTCGTATTTATTTATTGTGTGTGCGTGTGTGTGTGTGTGTGTGTGCGCGCGCGCACGCGCGCGTGCACGCGCATGTGCACGTGTGCCTGTGTGTGGGGTGCACACACATATGCACATGTGCTACAGCATGCGCACACACATGGATGTGAGAGGACAACTTTCAGGATAATCAGTTCTCTCCTTCGAGGATGGAACCCAGCAAATTCATTCACCTTCTGAGTCATCCGACTTGCCTTCTGTGGTCCTTCATGATCTATGAGTGGCCGCTGGAATATCTATCTGTCTTCCACGTCTATCCACCGTGTGTCCGTAAGATGGAGAATATACATTTTTTCCTGTCCATTTATCTCCAAAAGTCCAGCTATTTTAGAAATATCACAGACAGATAACTGAGGCTGGCTCGCTATGTGCTGTGAATACTCATGAGAATGCTCAGGACAGTAAATTTCTTCTCGTTTCACACTTGGGTACTTTTGGTGGCACTGAGGAGTTATATTTATGAATGGAAATCTCTTTAGTTAATGTAGATCATAGTAGTGCAGAATCCAGTTGATACTTGCGATTACACAGGTTTGATGTTATTGACTTTGTATCTTTATTTTTTTATCATTTTCCTGAGGTTTATGATAACCAAGATGATCCCGTAAGTTGTTAAGTTGTTTTCTCTCTGCCTCACTAACAGCTTGAGAATTGTAATTACGCCGTGGAGCTGGGGAAGAATCAGGCTAAGTTCTCCCTAGTTGGCATCGCAGGACAAGATCTCAACGAAGGGAACCACACTCTCACGTTGGCGTTGGTGTGGCAGCTCATGAGAAGGTAATACCATCCACAGGGATAGGTGAGAGCTTCGTGAATGGGTTATTCCTCTGGAAACACAAAAATTTCAGGAAAGTGATTGAATTCAGTAAAGCTATACTCTAAGTTTAGTAACTAAGGAAGTGCCTTTTGTTTTTCTAATACTTTTTTCTTTCCAATTTTGGTTTTTGTTGAGTTCTTATGAAAACCTATTGTTAGGTTCATTAGTATTTTATTGTTTCATCTGAATAATTCATACTTTTATCTTATTACAGAGTAGCCTTCTGTGTGCCCGGTTGTGTTCTTTATTCTTAACTTCTTCCTGATATTAATATAGTCTCCACTACCTCCTCTTGGCTGACACATCTTCTCCCGTCCTTTTTACCTTCGACTGACTTTGTGTCAATAACAGTGAATTCCTTTCTTATAGGTTTAAATCTCCACCTTAGAACTTTTTCTTATAGCTGTAATCTTTCTAATAGTACAGGTTTATTGATCATGAATTGTTTAAGTTTCTATATGACAAAGACAGCCTTAGTTTTTTTATTGTTGAAATATATTTTCTCTGAATATAGAATTGTATATTAGTGTATTTTTCTTCTACTACTTTGAGAGTAACATTCACTGTCTTCTTGTCTGTGTTATTAACAGCAGAAAACCTTATGTGAGCCTCATCTTTGCTCCTCTGTATGTGATATGATAGATTTTCCATGGGGCTCTTGTAAGATTTCTCTTTCTCACTAGTTTGAAATAATTTGATTATGTATGTTGTGTTGTGCAAAGTTGTTCCTTATATCTTAAGGTTCTTGAATTCTTGGATGGTACTGGTTTAACTTTACATCAAACTTTTAGCTTTTAATTTCCTTAATAATTTGTTCTCTGTTCACTCTTACCCGTTTGGGAAACCCTGAGTGCCCGTGTAATCCTCTGAAGATTCCCTGTCCACCCATCTCCTTTATTTCTTATTTCACTTTGAAAGATATAGGCCAATATAGCTTTAAGATAATCTGTCTTTTTTCCTCTCTGTGTACAGTCATGTTTCATTAACTCCATTTAGTATATATATAATATATATATACATATGTAAATACATATTTATCTTTATATTGTAGTGTCTACATCCAGAAGTGTTGAATCTTTTTTCTGTTTCCAGCCTCTCATCTTCTGCTTGCCTTCTTGAGCATGTGGCTATGACTGTGCTGACTTCTGTTTCTACTCATTCACTTTTATCTCCAGTGCAAACCATACTTTTTTCTTTGCACGTTGCTTATTTTTCTGATCACGTGCCAAACATTATAAGGTTAACCTTGCTCGATACTGGGTATTTCTCCATTCCTTTAGCCGTGTGTCGCTTTGGTTCTGGGGTGGAGTTAGGTTAAACCCAGTCACAGTCTTTTGAGGCATGGTTTTTAAGCTTTACTTCTCTGGGCTGCATGTGCTGCTTAGTAACGTGACGCTGAGTGAGCATGTTAGCTGCTGACCTGGGTATCCTGAATTTTTTCCTCTTCAGCTGATGGTAACCAAATCATTTTGTTCCGCATGTCAGCCTTGCGGGCTGTTCAGGCTGTTCTGGCCCAGCCTCACATACATGGCCCTGAACAAAATTCAGCTGACATTTGAAGACCCCCTCTGAGGCTCCCTGGGGCTTTCTTTCTCAATCATACTGTCTTCTTCATGCAAATACTCTTGGGTCTAAAACTCTGTACTGCAAATTCCGGGTTCCTTAGTTTCCTGGAGTTCTAACCGCATCACCTCAGTTTAAGGGGATGTTCTCATTGGATTTGCTCTCTTCCTGCAGCTTTGGGACCTCCCTGTGATAGGCTGTCTTAGGTCTTCTCCTCCTTTGTTTTCCTTCCAGAGGCCAATAACCTGTCCAAGTCTGAATAGTATCGTGTGCTGAGTGCTTATGACTGGTTCCCTTTTACTTCATTATGTCCCATTAATAAAGAACTTTAAAGTTTATCTCGATGAAAGCTCTTCAGTGGAGAACTTCAGAGATGTTTGGGAGCCGGATGTAACCTTGATTAATGAATAGCTACCTAGTGATGTTAGTTAGATAATAATAATAACACAGATAGGAAATTCATTAAATAAAAATAAGCTTGTTTCTCATAAAATACTGTATTCTCCCACCTCTACTGATACCCTAACCAGGCCAAATCTTATTTATATCCCTCCGTGAGAGATCCTGTATCGGTGTGACATAATTTACGCTGTACCTTCAGGGAAGCCCTAGACATCACACATCAGATCATATTCTGTCTAACAGGGTCATGACAAGGGCAGGGTGGGTGTGTCCTCCAGCCCCCAGCTTCAGTCCCACAGCTGTGGATTCCAGTTTTCACGACTGGCTCTTGATGTAACTGCGCCAGTGTTTCCACGTGCTGGAGAGTAATCGGCGGTGATCACGGTGGAGTTTAGTTTCTGACTCACATTCCCTTTACCCGTCGGGGTCTTCTCACGGATGGACGGCAGATGTTGTAATGCATGATGTCATAATGTATGGAAAACTGCAGAGCTGAAGAAATTGGCACTCTGTTCTACTGTGTGTCACGTGCAGGCATGGCCTGAGTTTCTTTTTCAATACTGTGTTAATAGCCCAACAAAAGCAACTGGGGGCGGGGGAATGGGGTTTATTTTGGCTTGGAGTTCCAGAGGGATACAGCCCCTTATGATGGAGAAGACAGGAGGAGAAGACAGGAGGGGAAGACATGGGGGTAGCGTCAGCATGCTGGCTGGTCATATATGTCTAAATCCAGGAAGCAGAGTTGAAGGGGAACTGCCTGCCCCTGGACAGTAAAGCCTCCAGGCCCGCCCCCTGCCTCTTCCTCCACCTCCCAAATGTCTCAGGACCATCCCAAACAGCACCACCAGCTGAGACCAAGTGTTCAAAGGCATAAGCCCACAGGGAGCATTTGACATCCAAATCACAATAGGTCTATCTAACCTTGGACATCGTGACTGTCATCCTCAAAGTGTGTGCTCAAGAATCACCATGTGGTTGTGTTACCCACAGCATTTCCAAGACACCTCTCATGGTTGAAATGGGTTTGTGGATTTTGTGTTGGCTGTCCTCAGTCACATGGGGCCCAAAGACCATAGGTAGGACACACTTGACTGAAAGTTCCCAAGGGCCAGTCTCACCAATATATAGTTTCCAAGAACTATTTCTAAATGACATTCATTGTCTTTCATTTATTTGGGGGAGGTGCTGATGGTTTTAAAGCAAAAGTCCTTTTATTGATATAACTACATTTTCTTATGGGTTACCATATAGGATAATATTTTTATGTTCTAAGTTAATGGTAAGAAAACTTAAATCGAACCCTATTCTGTTGTGAATGTTATACTATCTAAAAACCCACCCTGTATTGTGCTATTCGTTCTGACAGTGTTATTTATGGTCAGGACTGGTCCAGAGGTTTCCAAGCTCTTGACTTCTTCCTCACAGGATTGACAGGAAGGCTCACACAGATTGCCACAGTAGCAAGGAAACTTATTTTAAAACTGAACAATAGTATAGATCAGAAAGAACTGTACTGCTGAGAATGGCAGAGGTCACATACCTGAGAACACTCAAAGGGCCTGATTATTATTTGGGGGGCACAGGAGTAAGAGTTTGGTTACTAGGGGCCTAGTTTGAGTAGGTCTCTATCTTGATTGATAAATTTGAATTATGTAGGGTTTGTGTTTGTTTGTTTTTTTACTGCACAGCCCATCTGCACCTTATTTTAATCCTGTGCGTACCCAGTTATGCATAGGCCTAAAAGACAACCAGGAGAGCCTGCCTAGATGTTGACTGGAGGACACAGTTTGTCTTATCTAAACCACATTGTCTTACCCAGACACAGTGGCGTAGGAGTGAAAGGGTTTATCTGTTTTTAACTGTCAAAGGAAGGGGAAACTTATCCATTGTTCAGAGATGGGTGTGTACTCAGCTCGGTACAGGTGGGGTCCTGGATCACTAACAGATTACTAGCTGCCTTGTGTGGGGAGGTGTGTGTGTGTGTGTGTGTGTGTGTGTGTGTGTGTGTGTGGTATGCACTGGTAAGGGTCTCAGACTGCCAAGTGTATTCTTAGGAGGGGGCTGTGTTCATAGCCCAGACCAAGCGGTGCTCCAGGTTGCTAAATTATTCCCCACGCTTACCTGCTTCAGAAGTTTCAGTCATATGTGGCCTTTCTACGGGGCTGGTTTGTAGATGAGGGAAGGCCTTTCTGCTGCTGCAGCTGACTTCACCCAGATGACCAGTGACAGTTCTCACAAATGTTTATTACCCAAGATTCCTGCATACACGGAAGTGGACAGAGAAATACATTACTGCTGACGGAGGAAAAATGACTGGTGATTGTGTAAACGGTACCAGAAAGGATTTGTTTTTGCTTTGTTTTCCTCCCTTTATCCCCCCCCCCCGTCAGCCTGCCACAGAGTAACAGATCTATTCAATTTGCATCCAGTTCTAAGGAGAATTTATTTCACTTGGATTGCACAGATGTGCTAATTTGGTCATTTATCAGGACAATAAATAGCATGCCATTTTCTTTCTCTCCAAGAACAAACGAGGGTTGTATGCTTCCAGCCTCCTTTTCCCCCTTCAGGAGCGTGGAAATCATTCTAAGATTGGACAGCTGGCAAGTAAGGTCTAAATTAGGAGACATAAGCTAAAAACAAGTAAACTGCCAGCAGGTGGCAATGGCAGAGCGAGGCAGGAGGACAGACGCAAAGGCAGGCAACAGAGAATACAAACAGCCTCCTCAACCAACAAAACGCCACGCTTTGTCCCTCTTATCAAAGTTGAATAGATGAGTGTTGAGCATGGGAAGGCAGGAGAGAGAGCAATCCATCTTTCCTGGCCTCTCAGTTCGTCACCACATCTATACTCTTTCATTGAGTGAGGGACTGACTGGACCTGGAGCTCACGTTGCTGCTTCCTTTGGGCAAAAGGCTTTTCAGTCCAGGGTGCGTTGCAAGCACCAGCCGTACTGAGATCTTGTCAGCAACGTTCCAGCGAAAAACACAGTCACTTGTGTCATATTAAGGGGTAATGACCTCCTAAGAGGAAAATCTAGGTAGGCACGGGCCGTTAATTGATTTCATTAAAGTGTGTGTGTGTGTGTGTGCTTGTGTGGAGTGTGTAGACCTGAGTGCAGGTAACTGTGGGGACAGAAGAGGGCATTGGATCCAAGCGACATTCCGTTGTGTTATAAATGTATCACGTGTTCATTACCCAGCCACCAGCTGATGGGCTTCTAGGCTGTGGCCGTTTCCCAGCTGCTGTGAACAGAGCGGCCATGAACACAGGATGAGCAGAAGGGGTCAGTGTTAATTCAATACTCTCTTCCCTCTCCCACATAATAGTGTTCAGACTCTCTTCCATGGTGTGCCTAGAAAGAAAAGAATATCTTAGCCACTTTTCCATTAAAATCACTCTTGATTTTGTTCAGGTACACGCTGAATATGCTGGAAGACATCGGTGATGGCCAGAAGGTCAACGATGACATTATTGTCAACTGGGTGAATGAAACGCTGAAGGAGGCACAGAAAAGCTCGTCCATCACTAGCTTCAAGGTGAAGTTTTTATCTCCCGTTCTCCCCTTCGTTTTCGTTATACGTTAAGTGGCCTTCGGCGCTAGAGGTTTGATGATCCCTTTGATTTTTCTTAAATGATCCATTTTTGTCCTAATGCTCATGGCCATTTCAGTGACAAATTTCTCTTCTCTTTTCATTTCATGGTTAATTTTAAAAACCTATTTTTTTAAGCACCTCATTTTAGGCTCTGTTCTTTTGAAGTGGTATAAAACACAGTAATACGTTCCTTAAAATATTCACACTTCCACAAATCAGAGTTTTTTACATTATAATGGTGAAGTGTGAAATGCCAAAAAATCTCTCATGTGCTATTTTTTTTGGGGGGGGTGTTCCATCTCAATCCTATTTTTATTAATGTTATCATTATATATTATGAAATTTATTAACTTGACTGTCTGATAGCTAGAGTCTTTTTCAAGGTCCGGGACTTTTGATCCATATTGCAATAATGTCCATACATTGTAACTTCAGTGTTCTAATTTAAAGGTCAGGATTTGTGGGGAGGGACCCCTCACACCCCGCAGGAAGGAGAAGAGAAACCATAGTCTCTTCTTGCCGGGACAGAGCCGGGTAGGGCAGTGGCAAGAACCCTATCTGTTGTGAGCTCATCCTGGGTGAGTTCCAGCCCCCTCCATGCCTTCTGCTCTGCTAGTGACGGAAGTGAGCAGATCATTCTGAGAGAGATTTGGAAGGGCAGTGGGGAAGCCGTCATAGGCATCACGGCTACTGCTGCCTTCTGAGTCCCAGGGGCTCTTGTCTCTGACTTCATCCTGTAGGTAAGGAAACTAAAGCTTAGGGAAGTTTGGTTCACAGGCGCTGTTCTCTAAGTGAGGGAAAATACCTTCCCCTGGGGCAGCGTGGCCATGGGTCACTTAGCATAGCTGCAACTGACCAGTTGCAGGTGCTTCTCCTTGGAAAGCAGTTGCTGCCCTAGGCACTAATTCCGTAGCAGTGTCCTGGGTGTCCTTGTGGGGATGAGGTTTGGTAAGCCACGCTGACACTCACTCTTAGGAGTGCTTGATCCTTATTCCACGAGTCGTCCTGGTCTAATTTTCTCTGCTTTCTCGCTAAATTGTTATAGCGCTGATTAGAAAGGGCCCCGCGATGAGGCAAAAGGAAAGGTCGGAGTAGCCGAGTCCCTTTCCAGTGAGACTCGAAAGCAATGGATGCAGCCCACTCTTGATTAACCATTTTGGAAACGAGCCCATTCCCTTGTCACCTCCTAGATGCTCACCATCCCTCACCTCCTGTCAGCTCCACACCCAGGGCGCGGGATGCAGGGAGGGAGGTGGGGATTGGAGCTTTCCATTTCGCTTCAGTGATGCTTTTTCACCAAAGCATCCTGTGGAGGTAGCTGTGGATGCTAGTGGGGGAAACGAGAGTGCAAATCCATCTTTGGTTTTGGCCACATCAATTCTTTTTATCAACCAAGAGGAAATATTAAAACAGACTACATTCTGTTATGACAAAGGATTGTTTTACCTGTAGAGGAAAATTGGGCAAGAGAACTGGTATCTCTTACAAGCCTTAGAATTTATTCTCACTCATGCCTTCTGAGCATGTGCTGCTTGGCCTCTGCAGGCTTAGATGGTGACATGGGCATGCTCCTCTTGCCCAGGACGTAGCTAAAGAAGGCACACAGGAAGAGCTCTGTGAATCCACATCTGAGGGGCATTCTCAACATGAAATATGAACATCTAACTGTTTACAAATGTCCAAGATGTTAAGTCAGAATTTTAGATTCAAACCCGAGCTCTACCAATTCCTAGCAATTCACAACCCCAGGAACTCCCTCTTCTCTGTAAATGAAGATTAAGCATAGAAGCTGTAGGACTGGATCGGTGGTACAGCATGTCCTGGCGTGTGTGAGGCTCAATTCAGACGCCAGCACTAAACAAACTAACGAAGATTAAACATGACTATTAAACACCCAAACATAAAATGACCACTCTGTAAGATTAAACTTTTGTTAGCTATGCATAACCACCCCATAACGTCTATTAACTTCAAAGTATGATGAATACATACAATGCTATGTTTCAATTACAAAATGAGCTTCTTTGAGCTTTTAAAGAAGGAAAACAAGGGCTGGAGAGATGGCTCAGAGGTTAAGAGCATTGCTTGCTCTTCCAAAGGTCCTGAGTTCAGTTCCCAGCAACCACATGGTGGTTCACAACCATCTGTAATGGGGTCTCCTCTTCTGGCCTGCAGGCATACACACAGAAAGAATATTGTATACATAATAAATAAATAAATAAATATTAAAAAAATAAGGAAAGCAAAAGAGTACATGACTATTCTGTTGTTTTTGCTGTCTCCTTAGAAACCTTGAGTTTTCCATGGTCCTCAGAGAAAGAATGTCTTCCATCACCAAGTCTACCTGTACCCTCACCTGCCTTCTTCCACTCATTCTAGGATGCCCCTCTTACACAAAACAGGGCTTTTCTGACATCTTTGTTCTCTTCTTTCTATGTCTATGCTATATTTAAGGGAAAAAAAAGACCTACCCACTTCCCTTGAGGCCGACAGAAGTAACTCTAGGATGTGTTGATAACCCTCTCTTTCTCTCTACTCAGGACCCCAAAATCAGTACCAGCCTTCCGGTTCTGGATCTCATTGATGCTATTCAGCCGGGCTCCATAAACTATGACCTTCTAAAGACAGAAAACCTGGACGATGAAGAGAAACTCAACAATGCAAAGTATGTAGATAAACTTGGGGATGGGAGAGAGGGCCACAGCTGCCAGCAGGGTGGGTGTGGAGTCTGATGCTGACGCGTTCTGCACATACTCTATCTCTGCCATTCCTGATTTTTCTTCTTGTGATTTATTGAGGTCTTGTCATCAATTTAGGCATGGTACAGTAGCCATTTAAGATTGCTTGTGTTAGAATGGAGCAAAACAAAATCTAGACTATTCTCATAAATCATAAACAAGGCTACTGTTTTAAAACTGGTCTCTTAATCCTAAGCTATGGATTTCAAAACTAAAGTTTTGTGTGGAAAGTCCAGATATGAACACTTCACGCACGAATATCCACAGAAGTGTCGGGAATGTCACCAACAGAGCCACTGTGCTTTGCCTGTCCTACCAAATGAACCCTCTGTGATGGGCACCAGGGGACTACAGTCTCCAAATCTGGCACATTGTATGCATCTTTAAATAAAGCTTTATTGAATCACACGATCACTCATTTACATAGAAGCTTCTCTGCTCCAACAGCACAGTTCAGAAGTTACAGCAGAGTTTGCAAAACCCAAGGTAGTTGCTGTCTGGGCTTCACTTGATCTTAGCTAAAAGGTCAAGATTTAGCTCTGTCTGGCCTCTTAGAAAAGGTGTACCAACTGCTGCTCTACAGAGGTACCTTACTTTGATGAATTTGTGTTAACTCCCCAGCAATGCCATGATAAAGTACCACACTAACTAGCTGGTTTCAGGCAACAGAAATGTATTCTTTCATAATCGTAGAAACTAGAAATCAAGCTGACATCAAAGCTGGCTGATCCCGAGAGCTCTGAGACAGACTCTCCCATGCTCTCTCCTGGCTTCTGTAAAACGCCAGCAAACCTTTGAATTTCATTGGCTCAGAAAGCTCTATGTCCACTCACACTATCTGTGTGACTTCATGTGTCTTCTCCCTTGTCCCATGAGGACACAGGCCATATTTGACTCATTGCAGCATGACCTTGTCTTGTGATACCTACAGCAGCTGGATTTCCACATAAGGTCTCAGACGGAGATTATGGGATTTAGGAATTCACCATATCTTTCTGAGAGAAGGGATACAACTGAGTCCCTCACAAATCTAGAATTTAAAGTACCCTGTCTTAAATCCCAGCAGTGCCCTTTTCTCCCTGTGGTCAGCTTTGGAAATGGGGACCTGCATTTCCCATATGATGATGCTCCGTGCAGTCTGCTGGAGAGAAGTTACTTAAGCTGCAGTTACATAGAGTGTGATGGGTGTACAAACGGAAGTACAGGTCAGGGAGGGGTCAGGAAGGGGCTGTAGCTCTTTAAAGCAATTAACTTCTAGGCTGAGCTCATCAGCAAGGACAGGTAAGCCGGCAGGAAGCAGATGGAGGAGGTAGAAAACAGAAAGAAAACAAAACAAAAAAGACAAACCAAAAACCCACAAAGACTTGAAACAAACAAGTCCTGGGCCCTGTGGTTCCGTTTAAGGGACTTGCCAAGGTCACACAGTTTTCAGCTGCGCAGGTGAGCACCCCAGTTGATTTCAGAGACCAGGCTCTGGGGACAGAGTTGGCAGTAGAGCCTGCCCGAATATACACGAAGCCTTGGGTTGCTCTCTAGCATGGAGAAACAAAACAAAACAAAAACAAACTAGCCTCTTTTTATAGAAAAGAGTTTACGGAGTTGGGGAGTAGAGTGTCTGTCTGCCTTGCAGGCTTATCTGGGCATGGTAGCCTGGGCTGTAATTATTCTGCCAGCTAGGCAAAGACAGACGGATCGGTGGAGCTCTTTGGCTACTTGTTCCTCTCATCAACATGGTGAGTTCCAGGGCAGTGAGAGACACTATCCCAAAAACTAAAATAAATAATACGAGATGGCTCAGTGGTTAAGAGCATTGCCTGCTCTTCCAAAGGTCCTGAGTTCAATTCCCAGCAACCGCATGGTGGCTCACAACCATCTGTAGGGAGGTCTGGTGCCCTCTTCTGGCTTGCAGACATACACACAGACAGGATATTGTATACAGAATATTAATATATAATAAATAAATAAATATTTAAAAAATAATAATATAAAATAACGTGGGCAGAACCTGAGGAACAGGTGTTTCCACAGACACACACACATCACTCATATACATATGCAAGCATACTACATGCCACACACACACACACACACACACACACCATGAAATGAAGGAAAAAAAGTCCACAAAACGCTAAGAATGATTGTTTTTGAGAGTTTCAATGGTTCTGGTTGGAGTTGGGTTTCTTTCTTGTTTGTTTTAACACCCAGATTTCCATGCAGCTTTTCCCATGTGTTTTATGATGGGCACATTTGTTTTGCCTCTTAAATAATTAACAGGGAGGAAGTTACTTAGAGGTGGACAAGGAGGAAGAACAGTGCTGCTCTCAAATTCATTTGTTCATTAAGAAAGAAGAAGTTCTTTTGGAGAGCAGGAGGAAGTGGTGGGGCCCTGGGTAGGTGGGGGAGAACCTGAGGAGCAGCTACAGCAAGAGGGTGCACTAACTTGAGGGGACAAGAGAGCTGCCAGGCAACAGTGTGGGCGCATGAGAGTAGGTCACAGCTAGCAGAGATGATGTAATATATCAGCGCCCTGAAGCACTGGCACAGCTGAGATGCTTTCATTGGAAAACAGAGCACAAAACACTGACTAGTCTAATAGCAGCACACTATAAATAAAAACATCTGTACACGGAACAGGAAATGATGCACTCGGGTATTATGTGTGACAAGATATTATACATGCAGTTTTCTTCTTATGGTGCTGTAGTTGAAATGCCGTCCATAGAGTGTTCCTTCCACACAATTCTTACTTCATTCTTGGACTTTTTCTGCCACACTTTGTACCTCAAGAGAATATTCTTCATATGGGTCTTAAAAGTGGCAGGGGGAAGCTGGAGAGAAGGCTCAGTTGGGAAGGTGTCTGCCACCCAAACACAGAATCTGTGTGGGTATGCCCTGCACCCATGCTGAAATCCATGTCTAATCCTGCACAGCTATCATGCCAGTGCTTGGGGTAGAGGCAGGTGACCCCCCCTGGGGACTGAGGAGCAGCCAGCCCAGCCAAATCAGTGAGCTCTCTGGGGGTGCAGTGAAAGATCCTGCTTTGAAAAATAAAGCCAAGCATGCTTGAGAAAGATGCTCGATATTGACCTCTGACCTTCACACACATGAACATAAATGCATATATGCATAGAAAAGGTAAAAGTTGAGAAGGCCTTAAAGGGTGCAACGTATGTTTTATAGTCATCGTGTGTCTAGAGAGCAGTACTGGGGCCTCTTGGGGAGCCTCTTGAGCCAAGAACTGTCTGCACATGTGGGCAGATGGACGACCAACCAACTGCCCTGACTGAAGACCCTGCACCTTTATCCCTCAAAGGTCCCCCTTACCCACAGCTGCTCAGGATCTGCGTTTGTTCTCCCTTTCAGGTATGCCATTTCCATGGCCCGAAAAATTGGAGCAAGAGTGTATGCCCTTCCAGAAGACCTGGTTGAAGTGAACCCCAAAATGGTCATGACGGTGTTTGCCTGCCTCATGGGGAAAGGGATGAAGAGGGTGTAAGGCCCAGGGAGCAAGCCAGAAGGTGACACGGTCATCCCTGAAGGTCAGCACAGGGTGCTCCCAGGATACAGAGGACTGTTCAAGCCATTCCAAAGTCCTGAACCTTAGAGACATTATATGAGATTCCAGAAAGTGCGTATTTGTTTGGCCAAGTAGCTTCTACTGTCCTTAGCAATACATACTTCTCTCTTTTGGTTTGTTTTGTTTTTCAGAAGATCTACTCTCTTACAGATTTTTTTTCTTATTCTTTGAAATTCTACCAGAAAAAAAAAAGAAAACTAAAGAGAAGTTCTTTCCAGATGCCTTCCCTGATTTCACTGGCAATCAAGGGTAAAACTACAGTGTTTCCGTCACTTGATTTTTCAAACCAGTTTTATCTGGCTGCTTTTTTTTCCTTGTTTAGTGTGAGGACCTGGAGGAGATCATCTACCCTGCCTTAAATAAAGCCTGTTGCTGGAGGCCAGCCCCGGATGGTCGCAGCCTCTCCTTGCATTCCCTTCTCTCACTCTCTGAGTTTGCTGCAGCCCCTCAGAACCTCATCTGCTCTGTGGTCTCCTTTCTCGCCATCTTTGTCTCTCTGAGCCATGGTACATCTGACCAGCCAGTCAAGCTCTGGGCATCCCAAGAGTCTCTAGGAGCCTGCAAAATTGGGGGACAGGGCTCAAGGACAGTGTAGTAAATAATGAAACCACTAAGGGCAGGTGTGGGGAGAATCACAGAGCATCTACTCTTCTGGGTGCTGCATCTCCACACATTTATCCCTCCTTGTGAGATATCTGGTCACTGCAGTGCTGGCAAGAGGTCTGATGACATTCGGAAACAATCCTGCTCAGCTTCATTTGCACTTAGACATCAGGATATTTGATCGCCGCCAGGCCGTATTACCATTTCTCACTTTGTTGGTACTGCAAAAGCTTTTTGCCACCCTCAAGTTCCTGAGGGGTTAATATGTGCCAATAATATATGTCCCCGCCTCACCCAAATGCTTACGCAGTCACTTCCACATATGTAGCTGGATGTCAAGAGTAGACTTGCTTACTAGGAACTGCCAGGGGTTTCAAAAGCAAACCAAAAAGGACAGTATAAATTTGAATAGATCCACTAGATAAGCAATTTCCACAAAAACTTATCAAAAGCTAAAAATGCCACAGGGCATTGTGAACCAATGCTAAACTGCCTCTGCGTTAGTGAAAGACTTATTCCCAAGGTATCTTCTTTGGGGATAGCAGGATGTCATGGAACTTCAGCATCTTCCGAAGCAGTGAAAATGCAGGATCTTGACTTCATTCCTTGGCAGTGAGCTCAAGAAGCCAAGAGATGACTCTTTCCAGCTCCCTGCCAGTGTCCCTGCTGCGTCTGAATGCAAAGTGTGTGGCTGTGACTTTAGTCTGAACTTAACTTAGTGACGCCTCAGATGCTGTCTCCCCGTCTGCCTCCATGAAGGAAGGGTGTTATTGCCTTAATGGAAAATGAAGACAAATCATGTTAATGGTCTTTTCAAATAAAATGTTCCCAATTCTGGCTTTGTCTGGATCTGTTCAAGGTTGCTTGTCCCCCATGAGTCCAGAGTGCTGTTAATGTCTATGGGAAATGTTTAAGGGCTAAGGAAGGTATCCATACAAGAGATAGTCATTGCACTCAAGTAACTGGCAAAAACAGACATATACACACACATACGCACACACAGATAGGCACACACACCTACACACACATGCACACATACACACACATACGCACACACATATGCAAATACACCCCCACACATGCATATGCACACACGTGCACATACATATACACACACGAGCTGTAATGAGGAGAAGTGTCTCAGCTGAAGACTGAGGGATGCATTGCCATTATTTACATGAAGGAAGTTGAAACAAGAATTATTCAAAACGCTTTGGATCCAGTCACAAAGATCAGGCTTGGAGGTTGGGGAACTGACTTCTGGGGGAGATGAGAAAATGTGCTTTGTGTCAGCCACATCTGGGGCCTCCTCTCCCTCTGGGCTGGATCTCTTTGGCAGAGGGTGTGTCCTCATGGGGGAGTGTAAAGAGAGTCTGCAGAAGCTAGCTCCTTCTAGGCTGTCCTGCTGAGACAACAGAAATTTGTCATCAGTGTGGCATGGCTCTACCTTGACCCACAAAGAAGTCACACTGCTGTACAGTGGCTAGGAAACCGATCATTTGCATCTAAATGTGTGCCCAGCCTTACAGGTGGCTAATGTAAAAATGGCTCTTTCCTAGACTGGATGTATTTTCAGCTCCCGTGTGGGCACAGTATCTGTGTTCCATACACACAAAGAAGCTACTGGTACTATTGGTTGGGACTAGACTATAGCTATAGGCCTTATACGTCAGCACACAGAACAAGGACAGGATAGCATACAAGCTCTACCAAGAAAGAAGAACCCCCAGGAATGACAGACAAGATATTCAGTAGCCTAAGGGATACAAGATTCTAAATTTAGCTTCTTATGGTCAGATTTCACTTGGGGAAACCAAGTGAGGCATGAGGAATTAAAGTGTACCCCAAAACGTGCAGTAGACAGAAGCCACTCTCTCCCCTGCCTAAACTGCATCCGAATATCTGTAGTTGACAGCAGCCTTCCTGACCCCATGCTAGAGTTGTTCTTTGAAGCTATCATGTATTGGTTCACTGGAGGCAACTGAATTTTGTCCAACTGTTATCAAAACAGTGGAGACTTAAAGTCGGCACAGGGGCTATTTATAATATAGGAACTGTCAAGTTCTACCCATAGTGCTTGTGGTCCTTGAAGTGCTACTGTGCCCACCGTCTATGGCCTTGGTCTCTATCCCTCAACTTTCTGCCCAGTTACTACCTACTGTCTCCACTTGTTTTCATCCCAGGAACATCCGTGCACTTGCATGCACACATCCTAAGATGCCGTACTCCTTACCTTACTCTTTTCCACTTAGCACCCTGTCTTGGAGATGGAGTCATTATCTTTACCTAGAGACCCAGCTCAGTCTCTTCAATAGGCACCTTGCCTTGTGTCAGTGTCCAGGCTGGGTTTGGTTTGTAGTTTATAGGTGTTTACATTGTCTCAGCCTAGCAAATAAGTCCAAAGTGAATAATAATATCCCCACTTCTTGAACATAGACTTTATTTTCATTGAACAGGTACCTATCAATTTCTGACCTATCCAATTCACAACATGCTGGGGAAGAACATCAGAGATACTTTTTACATTTTCTCAAATTATGTTACATAGAACCCGAGGCAACCAATTCCAACTTCTCATTTTTATATCTAGAGAAAGATGTTAGTACAGCAAAGAGATAACACACACCCGTGCTTGTGTAGACAAGGCTAAAATGAAGTACAAACTTTAATAAAAGGTGTAGTCCTATGGGAACTCAGAACTCAATTCTGAATGAAGAATCTTCAAACATTTATGTGGCAATTCAGGTCTAATGAATGAGAAGCAAGCAGGATCCATGACTTACATGTTTTGGTACTCCCTACAAAGTCATACACATTTCCCATTTTTTAGTAAGAGCAAAGAAACCCTTTTGAATGTGATTTATACTAGTTACAAGCAATGTTTGCTGACTGTGGGAAACACTGAACAGACAGACGTGATTACAAGGAAAGTTATGAAATGGACCTACCTGGAAAGGTCTTGACATAGAGTGGACTGTTGTCTGCCTGGAAATTAGGACTCTGGAGTCTACATGATGCAATGGTTAGATTAGGTGACTTGCAAAATCCCAGCCAACCTATCAGCTGTATCCACTTAGATATGCATATACCACACACACATGCTCATCAAGGCTGTCCCAGGGCACACCATCAGCCTCATTCATAGATGATCACCTAGTAATAGAGTCCCTAAAAGTCCGGCTTCTAGGGATCCCTCTCAGGGTCCAGTTAAAGACACCACAATAAGATAAAAGGGGATTAGAAATCTAAGGGGTAAGAAATCTACTCACAATGGGATACATATGCCCATGTTTCTTTATTTTTCTTTTTCCATCCCCTGTTACAAATGTTCCCAGTTATATATACTGTTTAAAACCAGCAATTCCCCAGGCCTAGCAGGTTCCAGGACTAGAATTCTTTTTCCCCATAAAAAAATCAAATAAGGGTTTGCACACACACACACACACACACACACACACACACACAGATCCGTGGCTGTCAGTTCAAAAGTGGGAGTGGCTAGTGTATCTCTGGTGAGCTCCTAAATGGAGAAAGTTAGTCAGGAAAGGTATTAAATAATCAGGGAATTCTAGAGAGGAAGGTTTGTGTGCTACACTACATTTTTGGTGGTTACTAAAGAGATAAAAGGTTTAATTTTTTTGTAAAATTATGAGTAGGGCTTGAGAGTCAAACACAAGCAGTAAATTTTCTGAACTAAAATCATCAGTAAACTGAGGTGAAGGTGAGCATAAGGCATTAGGAATCTTCTGAGTGAGGTAAAACCAGTGCAGCAGCTTGGGGTAAAACCAGAGATAGTAATTCTCTATCCTTGGATATCTGTGAGTATCGTAAATGGAATGCTCTTTCCAGGACCCTAAACACTGAACAAATAATTGCTGATAAAAATCATTGCAGGAAGGCAGATTTCTACATTTACCTAGGAGAGAGGAATGAAGACCTGGCAGTGAGACACTATTTTCACATATACCTAGGGAGAAACAATTCTGAACTGTGAGGATTAATTCCCAAATATATAACAAAAGGGGAGTTAGCTACAGTGAAAGTCTACAGCAAAAGACAGTCACATTATTCACAAAGCAATAACACCAAAATTTTCTTGAATCTTGGTTTAACCTTTATTAAATAAAAAAGCCCTTGACTCTGGTAAGTTGCTCATGAAAAGATGGCTGAGCAATTACTGTATAATGTTGTGACTTGTAGCAACCTAGACTAGTCTATGCCACACTAATGCTTCGGGAGTGAGTGACATGCATGTTCATGTGCCTCCAGTATCCCTGGGACAGTCCTGGGGGCCACCTCCCTCCAGTCACTGCATCTTCTGCCTCAACCTTTCTTCTTCATCCACATCAGTAGAAGGCACACAGTCTTGGAGTAAGGGCCAGCAGTGTTCTCTTGTAAACCTGACAATGCTTTACCCAGTAAGGCTCTGCAGTCTCCAAGTCCAGAAAGACAGTGGGATGACCAGAACAGGCAACGCAGACTGATCCTTTTGTGAAATCGGTAACTTTTGATAGTTTCCTATTAAAATTCTGGTAATGGAAATCACTGCCCTACCCTTCCTGGTAACAACGGCTCTCTTACTCAGCATCCTCTGTCTCTATTTCTGAAAGGCAGAGTTTGTATTTTCTTGTGCTTTAAGACTGTGTAAATACATTTATTTAGATTCTTTCATTGATTTGTTTGGGGTGTGTGTGTGTGTGTGTGTGTGTGTGTGTGTGTGCCATACCATGATTGCGGAGATAGAGGGCAGCTTGTTGGTGGTTGATTCTTTCCTTCCACTATGTGGATTGTAGAAATTTAACTTTGGTTGTTAAGCTTGGCAGCAAACACCCTTACCCCTGAGCCAGCTTGCTGATCCCTCATGTATACATATGACAATGGGAACCCACAAACAACACAGCGTGTTGTCAGGACTAGAAGTTGCTCCCCACAAACTGATGACAAGGTCCTATTGCTGAAGACAACATTCATTCAACTCACTGAACATGAAGAGGTTGAACTGATGCCTATATAGAGCCATCACCCCTATGTGCTAGTATCTTTGGTACAGAAAGGTTCTCTGTATGCTACCAGAAGAGAAATGTCAACACCAACCCAGATACAAACTCTTTAATCTACAGTGGTGTCCTGTCTGCAAGATATGGTAGTTCAATGGTGGCTCGAAGCTTGTGGCAGTAACCAACCAGTATATGACCTGACTGAAGGCCATTTCACAAGATGGAACTCATACCTGACTCTGCTTTTATAACTAAAGAACCTGAGACTAGATAGCCCAGGGACCTATGGCAAAATCAAATACTGTTGTCCTACTAAAAGAACATAGAAATAAAATGACTCCTAATGACCTCTGCTCTACTCATAGATCAGCGCTTTGCTTAGCCTCCATCAGAGAACCTTCTTCCTCCAGTAGATGGGAACAAATACAGAAGTTCATAGATGAACAATATGTAGAGAGTGAAAGACTTTGGAACCCTCAGTCCTAAATGAGATGTCTCTATCAGATGCCTCCCTTTGGGGCTCAGGGAACCCTACAGAAGAGGGGGCAGAAAGAGAGTAAGAGCCAGAAGGGATGAAGGACACCAAGAAACAAGGCCCTCTAAATCAACATGAGCCAAGCTCATATGAACTCACAGAGACTCAGGCAACATGCACAGGGCCTGCATGTATATATTATGGTTTTCAGTTTAGTGTTTTTATGGGATGCTTTTGTATGTGAATTATTGGGTCTGTGTGTCTATATTTGTTTCTTGTGTCTTTTCTTGGGCTCTTTTCTTTCTGTTTGTTTTGTCTTATTCTGATGTATTAGCTTTTGTTTTAATCTTATTATATTGTATTTT